CAAATAACACAACTTAAAAGAATAAATACATGTTAAAAACAAACAATACTCCTACCCATACAACAACACACACACACACACACACACACACACACGCGCACGCACACACGCACAACCCTCACTCTACCCCAAATGACACTATGATTACACTGATCCATTATGTTCAGACAGGGAACAGTCACGTAGCTGCGTTTAATTTACCGATTGCACAGGAAACAAAGGATTTCTTGGAAACATTTTTCTTGGCCACAGGCATTCTACATCGCCTCTCTGAAGGTAGCAGATGGAAACGGGAATGAAGAGGGTGGGGGGGGGTCATGCATGATCAGCTGAGCTTTCTTTTTAAACTGCAATATAATACAGCTCTTTTAGCTGTTTCTGTGGTTGTCTAATTCTTTCACTAGCAATATGAACAATTCTGCCCAAATTCCCTTTACTCTAGATGCTTTTATACACACCATGATACCAAATGAAAGGATGCTTTTATTAACATTCTATAAATCCTCTCTAAGACATTTTGACTCACCCCAAAACCTCTCAGCTTCCAGATAAAAAATATTCACTGACTTCTTAAAAGTGCAGTTGGTATTCTCTGCACAGTAATATTAATCTATTGCTGTTCCTAGGAATTTGAAACACTGAACAACCTCCACAGATTGCTCAATAAGGGTTAAGAAGCATTCTGTATTCAAGAAAAAAAAAATTAGTTTAAAAAAGATTTTAGCCTGGCTGCAAGCAGACACTTGAAAAAACTGCTAAACCAGTTGCTGGGCATTTCACACTTGCTCCCTCACTCCGAGTGAAAATGAAGACACAGAGATGCAGATTTGCTATTCTTTTTGAACACAAGCACATTGCCGTGCACCCTCAGCTCATTAAGCTTGAAATGGTTCAAACTGCTGAATAGTGGCAGATGCATTTGTTTCTGTGACCTTATCACTTAACTCCAATAATGAGGTGCTCTGCCTTGCCTTAGCACTTTTTAGTACTCAGAAATGCAATTGCATAAAGACCTTCACCTACTGTACATCTTGGCAATACTAACCTGACTACCATACTGCCCAGGTTGTTGGGTAGATAGTTCAACTCGAACTTGATAGCCAGGAGACAGGGTGTGAAAGAGATCACAATTTTAAATGACCAATTCAGACCCCGCCTCCTCATTCAACAACTTAGCATATGGATGTGGATGTATCACAGCTAAATTAAAGGCTTATCTCGTCTTGTGTTGCCCAGCACCACAATGCCTTATCTGTGCTTTTGACATGTCAAGGACAGACTGCTGTAACAGTTATTTTCTGGCTGTTCTGACAGATGACTTACTTAAGCATCCACCACTGGGTCAAAATTCATCAGGCCACTTGCTCTCACAAAAAGAAAAAGAAAAAAACATAATATTTCACAGATTCTGTACAAAGGTCACTGGCTCTCCAAGTTGCCTGAACTTGGAAAGATGAATGAGATGGAAGGAGCATCACCAGCTTGTTGCGGGGAGTGTTGCGTTCACCACCCCCTGACCAGGAGTCTCTGACCACAGTCCTCCAGAGCCCTACATCACGTATGTCTAAAGACTTGCAACAATTTAACTGTGATTAGTTAAATGGGTCATTTGTTGAATTAAGTACTTCTGATATTATCTGGAACTAAAATCATAATACATTTAAATCCTTCAGGACCAGTGCCCCCTCAGCAAAGAAATACGCAATTGATCAATAATTACAAGTGGTCGTAATATTCAAAGGCTGTGTTATTTAGGGTGACCGACACGACTGACTGGACTGAAGTTCTCTCCGGGACCAGGACTGGAGACATTAACAGTTTACTGTGTTGCACCAGCGTAATTCCAGTGGAATAAATCACACTGCAACCACGGCAGACTATAAGAATTATGGTAAACCTAGAAGGAAACTGCAGGAAACCATCTCAAGTCAAATACATTTTACAAATCAGCTGTTTAAAACCAGACCCGAGACTCATTCCGACTGGTCTCTGCCAGTCTTTTATCATATCCTTATTAACATTTCTCTAGTGTGGTTTTTAATTCAGCCTTAACTCTCCAACTCATTTACTGCTTTAATTTAATTCTATCATACTGTAATCAAGTTACCAAATATATTCATATTCTTATCTCATTCACTACATGTAATTTAATAGATTTTATGTTTTAGATTTATGAATTATGCATTTTTGTTGTAGCTGCACTGAGCCAAGTATTTTTGTTTTTTTACATATGGCATTCTTCATTGTTCGTTGTTGTTATTATTAGGAAATACAGAATTTAACACTTGAAAATAGAGACGGGGCTTTCAAGAACAACACAGATGGCTTTAGGTTATTTGATCACTCCAAGGAAGAGTGAGAAATAAGAAGGGTAGATTAAAATTTAAAAGTAGCCGAAGGGTTACCTTTTAATCTCTTCATTAAATATTACTACACATATTACCCATAGCGATGCAATCAGTTCTTGATGTCTGAATGCGGGGTGTGAGTTTGGGAGCTCACAAACACGAATTACTGAAGATTTAAGACACGGATGAGCAGCACCACAAGAACAAGCCAGCTCGTTTAAAATCAATACAGTAACAGCACATAATACACAGCCGCATGGCATGGAAATCTCCGGCACGCAGAAAAGAGGGGAATTTGATCCGCCCACGGCACTTTATGCGGGATAACATATCTATCAAAGCTGAGGCAAAAAAATGAGGGAGCTCCAGACTCCTTACCTGATTTTACCACTCAAATCAAGCAGGCAGCCAGTGGAGGCCAGAGATGATAGTGAGTCTCCCACTCTACCTTATTCTGGTACCCAAGCAAACCTCGACCAAACTCCTGCCCCTGGGCCTGCCAAGCACACAGGCTCTCTTCCAATTACTGCTAAAGAAAGGGAAGGCAGGGACAGAGACAGAGGCCTCTCATGGAGTCTGATTTCAGCCCTCCTTCAACTGGCAGTGCGGTGCTTCAAAACGAACTGCCCGAAAAGAGCCGCAGTTACTGGCGACACTACTCATTCTCTTGCTCTTCACCAGTGTATCACAGAAGGGGGAAAGGCCATCAGATCACTGGCTGTACGAGCTTAACTCTGCAGGTCTGGGAGAGCAGGCAGAGGTATTTAAGAAACCAGGTATCTTCTGGAAAACTCCAGGAAGTGAAAAGACGGACCACATCTTTTCAGCAAGCCCATTATTGCCGTTTTACAGAAACCAACAAGGATAAGTCAGGATGAATACAACTTTATTGTCCTCTGCGCACCAATAATGCTTAAAGAGCAAGTGTTTAAAAAGTGAAGCTGAAATTGCAGCGTTCCTCTTTCAGGGTTCTGTCCCTACTGTTTTGAAAACAACACACTAAAAGATGTGTTTTGGTAGGATCAGTCATGTTCCAATAATACAGCAAAGCAATACAGTATGCTCTCAGAATAAAAAACAGAATTCCAAATACTATCAAAATGGAAGTCATCGTTCTTTTTCTGTAATTTCTCTCACGGGATCAATAAAGTATCTATCTTTTGTCTTCTGTATGTAAACGTTTTGCACAGTGTAGGTCGTTTCATTTTATGTGGGAAGGCAGTTGTTACATTCGGAGCTCAATAAACTCGACCTTGAGTCTGGACATTTCACTATGCTTTGAGCGTAAGAAAAGTTCAAGAGAAAAAAAAAATCAGCTTCCAAATGAATATATATTGTTTGGTTAAGATTGTAAAAATGCCTTCATAAAATACCCATTAAATGCTTAGCGAACAGACCATTGTATATTACATTATTTATCAATTTGTGGTGGAGTGATACAGTACACTAACAACATGTGTTTTAATTTTTAAAATAATCTTTTTATATGGCTATCGGGGACAAAAAGTAGTCTGCTGCCTTTACATCCATGCAATGTTTACTTCTACTGATGAAAATTCAACACACGCTCTTGTCAAAATAACGTTTTTCTTTCACATCACCGTGCTGGTCGGATAGACATTGTCTCGGGTGTCGGCTACGCTATTATTTTAGTAAAGACGGAACGGTTGAATTCTTAATGAAACTCCTCGAGTCCCTCCAGAGCTCGTTATGAGGAATAAATCATTCAGCAGTGGAGGTGAGCCCGAGCAGCGCGAGGAACCGGGAGAACAGAGTGGTGCTCGCGCTCACCCACAGCTGGAGAGCAGCACATCAGCACCCGCCACATGTCGCGGTACAACACCGGGACGCGTCCGTAAGGCTGGAGAGGAGGTGTCACTGAACACTTCTTTCCACGGCTAATCAGTAACGTGCGGTCACATTAACTCGCCGCACTTCGGGACTCCGCAAGAAGCTTTTTTTTTTTTTGTAAGAGACAGACGTGTAGCTGATCATTCGATGGAACTGCGGGAGTCACTTCAAAGCCACGGCAGGCTCAGCAACCTTAGCTAGGCATCCCTTTGAATAATAATACAAAGTGCTGCACGCTTGACATCCGCTAATAAACGTACACATACAGTACAAAGACAACACCACCTCCCTGAACACATCACGTCCTAAGTGCAAATGTAATTTTAAAAGTACACGTTTCTTAGATGCAATTTTAAGGACTTGTATGTCCCTCATTGATCAAACTGTTTTGAAAACCAAATACAGCTCACAGAAATGTTAATTGCTCGGTTACCAGTGTGTGAAAATGACATTCCACGAACAGAAGTCTGAGAAATGTACTGCAATAAATAGCAGTTGGGAATACTAGATAACTCGGGCTTACATATTAGGAAAATCATTTTTAGACAGCATTCCTCAAAGCAATGAATTATTCAGCTAAGTAAAGCCAACCAAGCGCGTTGAGAATTTGCAATAGCGAAGTGTCTTTAATACAGAAATAAGCAAATCCTCGCTTTTCGGTAACGTGAAATTTTAGATTGTAAATAAAATGCACGCTGAATTTTAAACAATGGTTTTAAATGGATTTTTCCCACTGCATTAATCACCTAGAATACAAAAGGCAAATGCATGTTCATATTTGAGGTAAACCTAACCGCTTACCTGAAAGAAAGACGCCGTTTCAATAGAAGAAATCCCGTCTTCGTTTAGTAATGAAAGTAGGGACAGCTCGATTAGCACTTGCTATTGTGTCCCGGTATCACAGCCCCACACTGAGGATTGCTAATTAACCCCGGCATCGGCATAGCAGAATACCACCGCTGATAGGAAATCGCCCGGGAACCTGTGTTTGTAATACGGGAAACGCCGCAGTTCCCAGGCAGATAATTGTACTGAAGAACAACAGACCACCACCAGCTCGCAGCCCGGGAACCTGAATCTTCTTATTACCCATACACGACTGTAGCTGGGGATCCCGGACTTTTTCTGTTTGGTAAAAGCGTGACTGTTCCGAAGCAGCCCCTCACTATGTAAAAGAAAACAGTAAAACTTTGAAAATTTAATTAAAACGTCGACCCATTATTGTGAGCGCCATTCAAATACATATAACATATAAACATATAAACGTGTTTAACCTGCGCTATAACATCCATCGATTTTCCAGAACCAATCAGTCCATGGACAGAGTGCTGGAGCCTAAAGAGGCAATTAACCAACCATATCATTCATTTATTTTTACTATGAAGTTCAATCTCCCAAAGGTTTCAGAGCTGATAGCTCCCCTACCCCAACCCAAAATAAATTCTAATTACCAAACTAACCGTTCAATTAATAAAGTAAAGAATAATTTAGTAAAAACACAAACCAGATGGAAACCCTGGGGATCAGGGGGCTCTCAATAAATCCTTTATATCCCAGGAAGATATATATAAGGAATGAGGAAAGACTGACCAGCCTACAGGGCAGTCTCTACCCCGAGTTTGCTAATGGAATGAACACAGTAGTAGTGTCTAGGCTGCTTCACAGCTCTCAAACGTCATGGGTCCGAAACCCACGATGAGGCCACACACCCTCTGGAGAATGGCATGTTACCCTGATAGCTCCAGATAACCCAACTGCAGAAAATAATCCAAAAACCCTACTGTAAAGAAAATACAGTAGTCAATTAAAGAAAACATCACCCAAAACAACAGCTGGATCCGTTTGACACTTTCTCCCTGGGGACAGTATCCTGTCCCTTTATGAGGTCTGTGAAGGTTCTATTTTCAAGGATTTAAGATCACTGCTAAATCCCGGAAAATAAGTGGCGTGGAAGAGGGGGAAAATATTTTAACCCTCAACACAGTTCGCTGATGCTTAGTTGTGAAAAGACGAGTTTCTCTCCCCACACAATCAGTTCCAAAAACAACAAAAGAGAAATACACCCTCCAGTCGTAAACACACAGAGGAAGTGTGATACAAATGAGCATGTGCAACGTCTCCTAGCTTTAAGACTGACGCCTGATTTAGGAGTTGTCTCACATTTTTAAATCCTGCCAACCAGACGCCTCTGCTAGAGTGGTATTAAAATGTGTAATTCTTCCCGTTTAGCTGCTATTTCCATGGTCCACGTCTGTCCGTCTTTAACCCAGACAGATGGGTAGTGTCTCCTGACGGCTCAGTGATAACGACCCTGCTCCTCTTTCCCCAAGTTGTTATCATAGTGGAATACAGGAGAGCAGACGATGGGTGCACACCCATGTGAAAGAAAAGAAAAAATGGAGGAAACCAGGATAATGACTGAATTCCTGTCAAAGAGGATCCCCTTAGTAAACCTTTCAAATGTATCGCTTCCACCTTTTTTATTCCCATTCCCATCACAGTGAAGGCAGGTTAGAGTGATAGATTGTGCAAATCCCTAATCAGGGACGCAGTGCACTGAGGCAGAAGTCATAAATCCGTCGGCTAAAGGGTAACTGCCCCCACCAGCAGGATAAGGTCAGCTGTGCTCCACATCACTGCCGCTCACGGGATGTTACTACATTCTGGACCTTCAGTCAGGGCCAGCAGAAGTCCAATCACTTCACCGCCGGCATGAGCACATGGATCTGGGGTTCTGGACCTGCTTCTCAGACACGTGTCCACCAAACCCCCCCCCCCGATAGCAGGCTGTGTGGTGGGCTCTCAGACTGGTGCTCCCACAGACATCTGTGCAATGGCAGATTACATCATTTCGTTTTCCCATCACCCCAACTGCGTTCAGACATTTAAAAGTCTTCCACCTGCATTATGGGACGCAGAAAAAGCAGACCATCAACTTCTACTTGCTTTTCACACACCTTTTAGCACACCAAAATCAGTATTACACAGAAACGGTGAACAGGAACAGGGATTTTTAATAAAAGGCTGCAATTAATTTCAATATGATAACAAGACTGCTAGAGGGACACATAAGAATGGTTATTTCAATTTTAAGCAAAGAGCAAAGACGGAAATGCAACTAATATTGTGCATTATCTTTTTCACCGCTTTGGGGATACATTTCCATCTTGCATTTATTACTCAATGTTTTGCTGCACCTATATCACCAAACGGAACCGTATCAGTATGAATGAATGAAACTCATCAATACAATATCTCATTTCATATTTCTCCAAAGCGTCATTGGGAGCAGACCACTGAGCATTGCTGCCTCCCAGCTCTTCAGTTCTGGGTTCAAGTCTGTCCTGGGGGGCCCCCTTGGGCGTGTGAAGTTTGCCATGTGCTCTTCGCTAGGTGCTCTGACCTCCTCCTGCTGTCCAGAGAGCTTGTCTAGGTTGTTGTCCACGTCTGTGCACGCCCTGCAAAGCACTGGCATACCTTCCAGGGTGTATCCTGCCCTGTGCCCACTGTCAGCCAGGTATGACTCAACATGACACCGTACTGGATGAAGCAGTTGCTTTGGGTGGATGAACGAAGCATCTTCAAGAACTATTTACATTTTTAGAATAACACAGTTTCATAGAAACTGAAAATGATTTAACACTGTGGAACACTTTCAAGGAATTACTCTACTATAGCACTCTAGTCTCCTAAATGGGTGGCGTTGTGTAATCTCAGTAAATGTCTGCAACACAATACACGCCTGATATACCAACCTCAATAAAGGATGTACCAGTGATTAAGGACAATACAAAACTCATTCAGTTACACAACACATGATGTTAAAGTTTCTGTAAGATCAATGAAAGGCATAAGCTTATTTTATACAATTAACATAACTGATTAAAAAAATTGACAGTACATTCAGAATTTGGAAAAAATATCAGAAATTGTTACTTGCTTTAAACAGATCTCAATAATCAACAAAAACATTTGAAAAATTAATCTTTTATGTGTAAAAAAAAACACCTCATCCTTTGTACTTCAGTTTGGGTCCTTGTGAGCACACTGTATATCCTCTACAGCACTACCTCTAGAATCCTACCAATAGTTAATATTGAATGCCACTCATTTATCTTACCTTTACCTTCACAGAAACATGAAAGCAAACTCCTTCATTTACATATATTATAATACTCAACTGTATCTTGAAAAGTGTTTAGTATAAGGTAGCACAGTCAAATAGACAAGATGGCACCTGACTCATTAACAAGACCTACAGCATACCATCACGAAACCAGTGTTTAAACAGATGACGAGAATAAATTAAGACCACTCAAGTCTAATCTGTGTTACTGCAACTTAAATAAAAAGGCTAGCTTTTCAATTGGACCTCATGGCTCTCCAGTGCAACATTGCTGAAACTCCACAACACATCCATATTTCTGAATAATTTATGTTGGCTTACAAACTCTCCATGGGTCAAAAGCTGAAAAAAGGAAAACCCCTCCCACCACCCCACCAAGTCCAGGGAGTTAAGCCCAAGAAGTGGTGCAGCAGATTTGCTTGTAGCTGTCACTTTCCTACAAATGTGCTTTTATCCCACATAAAGTGACCTGAAAATACTTTCAGCTCAGCAGTAGCTGTGATACTGTGGGTGGATATTAATATAGAACCTATCTCAGCTTCTGAGCACAATTTAGAACACCCATTGCCTGCACTGTGGTACCTCTGCAGTCATGCTACCTACTCCCATCTGTGACAATGGCTAGTTACTTCATATTAACAAGGGGAATGTTTTTTTCCACTCTTTAGATGTACAGTATGGACTGTCCATCCCAGTACACACTGCTTGGATTTTAAGAGCCCTTAATCGTGTCTTAACCAGGCTGGCTCTACTGCACTAAAATATGAATGCAGAAACTGGCACTTGTCAAATCAAATATAAAATGGATTCATAGTGCAACACTCTTCACTAGAAATATAAAACCTATTTCAAGTACAGCACAAAATACGGTCTTTAAAAATCCTCAGGCAATGAGAGACCAGTGTGTTGGCTGTATACTCATGCCTTGCAAGCTATTTCATAAAAGATCAAGCCTTTCCAAAATCTCAATTCTGCTCAGAAACTTTTTCTTTGTTCTTAAGTGTTGGAAGCCTTAGCAGTCAGCTGGTCCTTAAACATGTCAAATCAATCAAGCAATTGAACGGAGACCTACAGGGACTGCAGGTACTGTATATGAGCACACAATGAAGCAAGTCTGATGAGGCAGGCAGTCTAGAAACAACCTAGGAGTAAGGTCTCTGAGAGTCATATTGCTGTATATAAATGGAAAAACAACAACTTTGCAGGCTCATTGACATAACGCTTAGAAACCCTGAAATGCCCTATTTTCTACTCAAAGGAAAGTACAGAGCAGCTGGTTAATTATAGGATCACAGCAAGGTTCTGCAGAACACACTACTCTGCAGAAAAAGAAACATTTGCAAAATACTGAGATCTGTTGGAAGTGTGCAATAACACAAAGAGCAGGTATTAATACAAAACGTGCAATACTTTACATCAAACAAATGCCTGGGAGCAGCTTACAGCTAATATATGAAGATTGATTCCCCAGTCGAGAACTGGTGGAACAAATTAAAATGTCGAAGCAGCTGAATTTGCAGATTTTATGGCCCTATGATAACCAATGTTGTGATCAATTTTAATAATAGATGCATGCATCAATGAGGGAACAGGCAGCACTGAGCCCATTTCCTGCACTGCATGTTGTGTTTCTACACTAAGTTTCAGTCCCATGTCATTTACCTTTATTTCATAATAATCATAAACATCTAAACTCTGTATAACTATCTGAAACTGTCCATAAAAAGGATAACATTGAAATGGCTGTCTGCAAGCCTGTGTAACATAATCAGATGGCTTTTTTAACATTGAAACAATATTCTAACATTCTTACACTATTTGCATAATGAAATAATGAAATAAGAGTTATGAGATGCAATTCGATACACACTGCATTGTTTGACATAGCAGAATCAATGCTTAGAATTAAAATCCCTAAGCAATGGCATGCAGTTGGCTTTGTAAACAAATAAAAAATAAATTAAATTTAATAAATGAATAAATTAAAGAGTTTTGCTTGAAGGGCAAAAGGGCAAAGCCCCAAAGGAATGTTGCAGATCAACATACATGTCTTATCCTAGAGCTTTAAAGTGTGAATGTTCATGCTTTCCATCTGACATCTGAAGTAATTCACAGGTTTGCTGAGCTGCAGCAGCAGCTGGGGAGGAATCGGCCTGCCAGCAGGGCTAAAACTGCTGATTTAGTTTTGAACAGAATCATTCAAAGCACTCCTTGAGCCATAACTCATCTCTGTCTGGGGGTGATAAAAGATGGAAACGGAATACCAGAAGAAACTAGGCATGCATTGTTTTCCCACGACACTCTCTTGTATTTTTTCATCTTAAACAAGGGCTGCTGCAGAGCTGATGATCAGCCTCAAAGGAACGATGAATTGTGTTAAGAGGAAATGCCATGTCACTCCACCTCTTCTGCAGAGGCGTGCATCCAAGTTAAATTCTTAAAGCTTGGATTCTAAATTGACAAACTACCCTGAAACATCTAAAAACTCTGCTGCATAAGAACAGCAAAGACTGTGAGTCTGACTATTCTAATATATTTACTATACTTAGCTAGATTTACCTGTAAATACATGGAATGGAAATCAAGTAGTTTGAATACCTCTCCAGCTATACATGCTGATTTTTTTTTTCAGCCTTCAATGTCAATGTATTATTTCATATTCTTTGAGATATGAAGGAATAGTCAGCTACTTAAATAATAATACAAAGGCAGAAACTACATCAGATTATTCACCTGGTCAGACCCTTTCCAATGCTGCAGTAACTGGGGAATATTGATGTCATTAATCTATTTAACAGTCTATTTAAGGTAAATCTTAACCAAATATTACGAGCCTAAGGAGAAGAAAGTGAGCTTTAATCAGTGGGAAATTCATAAAAATAGAACATTTGTTTTTTTCAATTGGAGATCTACAAACAATACATTAATCTTTCCCATTTCCTAAAAAAGACAACATTTCAAATCCAAACTGAAAAAGCAAAAGACAAATTCACAACTTGTGGAAATGTGATATCACACATTTATGAGAGAAGAGTCAAGAGTAGAAGACAATAATTCATAATGCCAAGAGATACACCATCCCAAGCCAGATTTCACATGCATGATGACAGTATTTACCATGGTGTCTAGTGTATTACTCCAATTTTAATCAGGCGTCACTTTTATCCATTCATTTTCTAACTGCTTCACCCAATTCCGGGTCGCAGGGGAGCCAGAGCCTATCCCAGCCAACAATGGGAATAAGGCAGGATACAGCCTGGATGGGACACCAGAACACTGCAAGGTACACAAAGACCTGAGCACCCAGAGAAAACCCACATGAACATGGGGGGAACATACAAACTCCACACAGACAGCACCCCAGGTCCGAATTGAACCCAGGGCCCCAGCGCTGCGAGGCGGCAACGCTAATCACTGCGCCACTGTCCCCCCTCGTTTCAATTTAATCCTGTTTCAAAATTAAAAAAACAGCTAATAACTTGAGATTCAAATCCCAAAAGCTGCATAATTAATGCACATTAGTTGAAAGAAACCCTCACTGTCACCGATTGCACTTTAAAGCAAAATTAAAGCACATTATGTTACCATAAGAGCAAAATCCAATCATTGCCACATCAAATGTTAACTCATAACAGATATCAAGAAAAGTTATGCCCAATAAAAAAAAAGAGTCCCAAGATTTTAAAGGAAACAAAATCAATAGTCTCTGCAAATCACAACTTATTTAGTTTTCTGGTATTTTCTGCGTGCACATCAGGTATAAAAACACAAAACAAATTATACACATTTTGCTGTAAGCAGTGGTATGCATGTTTAATTTAACATTATAACCCATCAAGGAAATTTGGGACAATTAATCCAGAAAAAATAAAAATGATCATTTTAGTATTCAACGGTATCCTAGCACAGTCTGAAACTGTGTTCTATCTGCTTTAGAAAATAAGTAATATGTCCTTGATGTTGGCAGGCACAGTTGAATGAAAGGCAAAACACCACAGTTATTAATTTTCCCAATACACATGAAAACGTATTAACAAACAAAATAAAACTGTATTTTGCACTGTGTTATTATTTGGACCTTTTCTGGATCACTCTGCAATTAAGGAAAAATGCATTGATCCTGATGTTTTCATTGATTCTGCGTCACTGAATTGCCAAGACGTTTAATAAGTTTTCAGAAAATCTTCAATGTGGTTGTCCTTTGTGGGTGCTCTCATCTATCGAGGTGGAGAGCACTGAGTCTCCAAAAGCTCTGCGTGCTCAGGCTTGCTCAAGCTCAACTAGCACCCCATCACAGTCTTTAGGGTGGAGAAACATCACTGGTTTACCATGCGCTCCTATTCGGGGCTCATCTGATAGAGTCCGAATCTTCTTAGCCTTTAAATCCATTATAGCAGCATTGATATCATCCACCTAAACAAACAAAATGCATGTCTTCTTAGAGGATGTGCAAAAACACGATTGCAGTAAAAAATAACTTTATGTATTAAACTTCAGCTACTGCATTCGCATAAATTGTTTTTTTTCAGCTATTGGCATTACCAGTGCTTATAGCATTTTAGGTTCTCCATGTTTGATATTTAGTTTTACATCTGTATTCACGCTCTTTCATTAATAATTGGTTATGACTAAAAATACATTCTGGAGAGGTGTGAAAAATGGAAAGTAACTGAGAAACACTCAGATATAGTTTTATCTATATCTTAAGCTACGAGATGCAATGACTCCCACATATAGGAATAAAAGAGGATATGACTTTTTCTTTTTCAATTTGACTGTTTAAACAGGTAATTATCAGTTGTATGACAGTATGGGAATATAATAATCCTTTCAAAAGAATCAAGAGTTTGAACTAAAACCTTGTCAAGGATCTGACATTGCTATTCCTCTTACACTTTATTAAAAAATAAACTACTTTTACTTGGTGGTAGGTAATTACCATAATCACTTTCATTCCTTTATAGAATGCAACCTCTAATTTGAAAAGAAAATTAAATCTATTTCTTGTTATTGAGATACTTTATAATTAGTTCAGGTGGGCAGCTGCGTCAGCATGCGTAGGCTGCAAAGGAACAAGTAATAGGTTTATTCCATGCTGAAAAGAGAAGAAAGAAAACACAACGTTTCGGCCATGGAGCCTTCTAGGCAAGCTCTGCAGCTTTTTAATTAATTTGCTGTTTGACCAATCACATGCTGTCTTAAAATAAACACAAAGAAGCAGCAATTGCATGTCCTTGTAAAGAATTAACACTTTTTTTCAGGTTGGGCTATATACAAATAAACAAAGTCCAATCATAAAGGAACTGTCAGATTGTCCAAAACACTTCTGCGATCATAGTAACCAGTCAATGGAGCATCTGGCTCAGGCCCTGCAAAACTCTCAATGCCACAGCTACCAGATACTGTTATTTTATCACCCACTCTGTTTTCTATCCAGCTTCGATTTGCATGTAAATTGGTCCTTATAGACCACAAATTTTCCTCTTCACTGTAAAGAAATGAGGTGGGCTGTCTGCCCACAGTGACCAATCAAGACTGCTCACGCTTATCTGCTGGGTCTTTGCATATTAGCGCTCCAAAGGATTGCTAACCTCAATGCAGATGTGATGCATCCCACCAGCTTTGTTCTTCTGGAGGAATCCTGCGATAGGGCTCTTCTCTCCCAGGGGATGCAGAAGCTCCAGTTTGGTGTTACCCAGCTCCACAAACACAGTGTAAACCCCATGCTCCGGTAAGGGCACTGTCTCACTTACCCGGGCACCCAGCACCTCCCGATACAGAGAAGTAGCCTTCTCCAGATCTGGGACTGCAATGGCAACATGGTTCAGTCTACCTAGCTTCCAAATGGGTCCTGGCACACCCTGAGCCACAGGCTTTGACACTGAAAGTCTTCTGAATATTGGTACAGCACGATGTGAACTGCATAGCAAACCTGTAACTGAAAAACAAGAGTCTCCAGTGAGGGTGATCTGGCATAAATAAAAAGCAGGGCCCAAACTTCCTCTGTCCAAGAACCTCCTTTAAATATTACCCTGCAACACACACACCTAGTAACCCACTGAAGGTCAGCAGGTGTGAACCTGGCCAGTACCTGGATGGGAGACCTACTGGGAAAGCTAAGGTTGCTGCTGAAAGAGGTGTTAGTGGGACCAGTAGGGGGCACTCACCTTGCGGTTTGTGTGGGGTCTAATGCCCCATTAGATTAATGGATACACCATACTGTAAAAAAGGTGTCTTCCTTCAGATGAAATACAAAACTGAGGTCCCGACTCTCCATGGTCATTCAAAATGCCAGGGCATTTCTCTTAAAGAGCAGGGGTGTTACTCTATTGTAGGGGTGCGTCCTGGCCAAATCTCCCATTGGCCTTTACCAATCATGGCCTCCTAATAAACCCAATCTCTGAACTGGATTCATCACTCTGTTCTCATTCTCCTCCCCACTGATAGCTGGTGTGTGGTGAGAGTACTGGTGCACTCTGGCTGCCGTCGCATCATCCAGGTGGGGCTGCACACTGGTGGTGGTGGAGGGGAGCCCCCATCACCTGTAAAGCACCTTGAGTGGAGTGACCAGAAAAGCGCTATACAGTATAATTGTTAGGAATTATTAGTAGCAGCATTATAACATGAAGCTAAAAGGCTAGGTTTAAATAGCACTGTAACACCATCCCCAGGAGTGAACAAGGGTTTATTGAGAAAACGGATTTGTGAGAAATGATTCACGACTGAGTACGGTATGATAATAGTTGTAGGAGTTCTGTCTACAAAGCAGAGCTACTCCAATATCAAAATATATCAGTGCTTTATTTATGCTACTTATTATCTCTAATGGTATAGAACTATATTGACACCACTGACCATCAATTATATGATTAAAAAGAGCAGCTCAGCATAAAGCAACATGCACAGGCAGAGCTAAGGTACATGATCTACTGTTTTGAAAATATAGGCCTGGTAGTGGTTTAGCTACTTATAAAACAATGAAAGAGTTCCTTCCTCTTTAACTGCCAGGTAGTATCTGTTCATTGTCCCATTTTAAAATGTATAAATACTTTGATTGGAAGCAAGAATATGCGCAGTATAAGGTGAACATCAGAAAAGCAGAACACCTTCACAGGACTTTGAAGTTGAGGCTGAAAGAAATAAATGCTACCACCTGTGCACCTTCCTTGATCACGGAGACAGTCTGAGAATAAAATAATCAATACTCAAAAAGTCATAATTGCCATTTATGTCAGTACTTGTTTTTTACGTTTTAACATCACACGTTTCCTTTATCTCTTTTTTTATTTCAAAACACCGCCTCCTGTGATCTCATAATTTTAGGCTGCAGCCAATGAATAAGAGCTGTTCAATTAGTATTTGATGCAGAAGGAGAATGCCATAGATCAGTATTTATTGTTAACAAAAGGCAGCTATTAAATAATCGCGACTCCACAGCATGTAATTAATTAATGCTGTTCATTTTACGAATTTTCTAAAATATGACTTATTTAATAATATACATTTACTAAAAACCTAGCGCTCAGTTTACTCATTGGCTACTTTCAGTTTCACTGAAATTTAAATAGTCTGTTTTGGCTCAAAGTGACCGTTTTTTTCCGGAGCATGGTGGTTACCCAAGTACAACTGTTATTGGAAAAATAAAGTGTTTTCTGAAGAAAGGGACATCAAATCGCCTTTTTTAGTTTTATATTGGACTATTAATGCAAAAAAGAAACGTAAAAGTTGTTTTAATTGGAAAGTTTAAAATAGTTACCATTATCACATACATGCCCCTCGCTTGGGCTTTGTTCTTTGTTCTTTGTTCTTTCATTAAATAATACAGTAAAATCAGTAACTTACCGACAACCTTCAGCATGGACGCCGCCATTTTTAAATACAACTTTATTTAAAATGCTGTAGACAAAAATGCTTTCCACATTGAGATCTCGAAAATAATTAAAATTAAAAGATACAAACTCATCCGTTTAATGGAGTCCTTCTCTTCAGAACTGTATTGTTGACGTTTTATTTAGATTTTTATTTTTAACTAACTTGAAATTTATAAAGCTTCATACCTTATATTAGAGGACAAATATTTTCTGTATTAACCCATTATAAATAAAGCAAGATAGTATTAAAATGTCAGCATAAATAAGTCAAATTTAATTTAGGATAATAAGTAAAAGGTTTCTGTTTCCTTTAACTGCCGGAACCAATGTTGTTCAATGAAATTTCTAGTCGGATTGCTTTCTCGTGGGTACTTAGTATCTAGGGGGAACGTGTTTTCCTCAGCTCTATAAGTTACCCATGTGAGTGTAGCAATGGCTGACCGGGAATTAGGATTTACTTTAGAAAGCTGTTTAAATATTTTAAACACAAACACTGCGCATCCGGAAAAGTTTTTAAGGTAAAATGTAGTTATCCATAATTGCAAATCAATCGCTCTGATATCACATCTACCACGTCTGTCGTATGTGTGATGTGCCAGTGAAAATAGCTAGAACAGAACTTAATATTGTGTACATTATGTTTCAAACATTAGAAAAAAATTAATTGAGTAATGCTTTAGAATGTTAACTTTAAACTGAATATAGAATGACGATACGATTACAGAAGAGGCAGTTGTCTTGTAACTAAAGTTCGTTTAGCATAGTAGCATTATAGAAATGTGAGAAGAACCTAATTAAATAAAATATTCGTGGTGATTCCTGTTGGATTTAATTTAGGATTCTTGAACATGAATAAGATTCATGTTCTTGACTGAAGTGCAAGGTAGCTACGCCTAAAATTAGCACAGTGACCGTGAATGTGCTGTATAATAAAACTTATTTAGGATTCCGTGTAATGAAGCCTTTTCAATATGCTGAGTTTGGAGTTGCTAGACACTTTACTTATATAAGCCCCTTTTGTTCTTATATGACATAGTAATCGAGTATTTTGTTTTCTTAATAAAGTGTCCAAGATGTGCTGGCCTCAGACTTCACCTCCCTCACGAAGACGCTGTACGATTTGCACAAGGCGCAGGAGCCGCCCGGGGCAGTGGGCAGCCCCTTGAAGGAGCTGGTGGTAGAAAACTTCGATGAGGAGCAAATCTGGCAGGAGCTGGAGCTGCAGAACACGGCCGCACTGGCACAGTTTCAGAAGGCCGTCGGCCTTGCACTGCGGGACAAGGAGATCGGGTTTGACGAGGCGGAGGAGGAAGACCGGGAGGATGGCGGGAGTGAGGAGGAATCGGCCGCCGAGCTGAGCGGAGAGCTGGGAGGTGAGGACAGCGGTGAAGACGGAAGTGTGCAAGAAGAGGAAGAGGAGGAGGAGGAGGAGAGGAGGGCATCGAAACCCAGAAAGGCTTCGGCAAAGTCCGAGGCACTAGAGAACTTCAGCGACGAGGACTCGGATGTTGACTTTGACGTGGACGCGCTGGAGAGACAGACCAAACGGGCAAGCGAGAGGACCAGGAGGCCGGGGGGTGGGGTGGGCTCGGTGGTGGATGACAGGTTTTTCAAGCTCGCCGACATGGAGGCGTTCCTCGAAGACGTGGAAAACAAGGAGCAGCAGGGGGACGAGGGCGACGGCGAAATCGATTACTTTGAGGACATACTATCGGAGGAGGAAGAGGAGCTGGGACTGGAGCAGAAGACAGCTGGCAGAAAAAAAGGAAAGGTAACTGTTCCACCGCATGAGCAGAGAGCACACAGAACCCACACCGGACACCACAGCCACACACAGATGTACAAAATGAAATTCATTTACTTACAGGGGTACGACCTTTTTTCGCCTTTGTTTTTTTCCAGCAACAGAAAAGTTCAAGGGACCTGAAATACAAGGACTTCTTTGACCCAATAGAGGCAGATGTTGGCCAGAAAGGTCCAAATGAGGATGATGAAGACTTGGGGTCTGAGGAAGAGATTGATGAAGAGATGGAAGATGAGGAGGACATGGAGGAAGAGTAAGAAAAGAACGTGGTTTGATTGTATTAGATATCTACATTAATCCTTATTCATTTAGGCTGTGCATGATGTCACACTCTAACCAGTTTGGATTGAAGTTGTCAAACTTGTTTCAACCCTTGTTTCTGGATTAGATATAGAGAATGGTAATACTGTAAAGTAGTACAAATACAACAGCCAACATGTACTGTCTAACTGCATATAATAATAAGTTTGGATGTACTGCCTTTGCGTTGAACAGCACTGCTAGTTCTGAACACAACAGAACCATTCTGTTCCATCTGCCTACACATCTTGCCATGTTAGATGACCCCTATCTGGACTGTTTTGCTCTTTTTCTTGTAGGGAAGACATGGATGAGATTGAAGACAACGAAGAAAGCAGGCAAGCCAAGGAGGCCTTAAAGAGAGTGACCTTTAACTTATCTGATGACAGTGAAGGGGAAGAAGTGGAAAGCATCCTCGGAGGAAAGCAGCCGAGCTCGGAAAAGGCAGAGCCCAAATCCTCCTTTGAGAAACGACAGGAGAAGGTATATCACACAGACGACTGACTGTTTGTAATAGTTCATTTAATGGTTTCATAGTAATATTTTAGTTAAGAACAAGTTTGTTTGTTTTTTAGATAATTCTTTACCATGAAGGTTGGGGAGGTTTGGCATCATTCAGTGAATACTTTATATATCTGAAATGTTGTTTAATTATGAGTTTGTGTTCTGTTGGGGAGAACTGAATTTGCAATACAGGCCATGCATTCTGAATTCAAGCAAAAGGTTTTAGAGAGCTGTCATGGTTGTTCTATATAGTTTGTAGTACAGAATAAGAATCTAAAATGAAGATTTTGTTTACGGTAGTTTCCTCTGAATATTTGTTCACAGTAAAAAAAAAAAAGTAGCCTGTCACAAATAGTTGACTAGCTTGCATTAGTGCACATGTACATCTTGCAACTGTTTTGCAAATGCTCAGATGGCACAGAGGATTCGGGAACTTGAGAAGGCAGCGTTGGAAGAGAAACCGTGGCAGCTGACAGGAGAAGTGTCAGCACAAAAGCGCCCAGAGAACAGTCTGCTGGAGGAGGACCTCATGTTCGAGCAGGCTGCCAGAATGGGTAGGTGGACCATCTTGTGTTTCTTGCCTGCTTCTCATTTCTCCTTGTCTAATTATGCTGAAGTCAAGCAAACTGCCAAAGAACCAATAGAGCTATGCTGTGATTTATGTGTGCATAAGGTAAAGGACTGTGTGTTGCTGTACTTATTAATGTCTTGAACGTTTGCTTCCTCCTAAGCACCTGTGATCACTGAAGAGACCACTCTTCTGCTGGATGATATTATCAAGCAAAGGATCAAAGACCAGGTCAGTGCACCAAGAAACAATGCCTTCATTATCTGAAATATGGGAGGTGTAGCAGGCTTGGCAGTATAAAAATGTTCTGATTGGGTTATCATTTGAGAAATTAGCAAACACTCATACGAGATAAAATGTCATCATGGGCTGCCTGACCTCGCAGATGAGGCTTGAGAACTTGTGGATGACCATCTGCTTGTGTTCATGCTGACTACCTGTCTCCTTCTTAGGCATGGGACGATGTGATTCGCAAAGAAAAGCCTAAAGAGGATGCCTTTGAGTACAAGAAGAGGCTGACGCTGGACCATGAGAAAAGCAAGCTTAGCTTGGCAGAGGTGTATGAACAGGAATACCTGAAGCAGACTCAGGTAGGAAAGCTGACAGTCCACTTTTGGCTGTGTGGTAGTAATTGCTTGGATTTATATAGCGGTTTTTATATGACAGGATCTAAGTGCTTTACATATAGGAAAGGGCCCACTTCACCCCTCACTGAAGAGCCCTGGGTAAGATTTGTCTGCTGGTCTTCACCATCTTCTTCACTACACAAACTGGTTGAATAATGGGAGAACTTTAATTAGTCCAGTTTGTACCAACCCAGAGTGAAATTTAGCACCCCTCCTGTTTCCAAAAGTGCTGTGAGATCTCTAAGGACCAAAAGTTATGTTGCTGGACTGAATTGACACTGAACATCACTTCTGTGCTGTTGTAAAGGTTCTCTTAACACGTTGTATTTCATTTTTAGCAAAAGAAAGAGGAAGAGGAAAACCCAGCGCACGCGGAAATACAGAAACTGATGGATTCTCTTTTCCTGAAACTCGATGGACTTTCGAACTTCCGCTTCACTCCTAGACCGGTGAGTTAACGTGTCTCTGCTGGAGTTAGCGTGATTCTTCGCCTGTGTCCACGAGACCAGTCAGGACAGCCCAAACACAGACAGTCCGGTCTCAGAGAAGACAAATGGGATTAAATTTCTCAGTGGCTGACTTTTTCCTTGTGCTGCTTTCATGTAATTATTAGTCTAAATTAATTGTCACTTCACTCACTCTGTGTTGTTGGTTTATCAGAAAGATCTTTTATCTAATGATGAATATATCTCAAATTAATTGAGGCTACTCATGTTTGCTTCCTTTACAGAATTAAATTCCAATAAATCTGAACCAAAATGGATTAACCTTTGGAATAATAAACTATAAAACAATGGATTAACCTGCTACAAACAGCCATTTTTTATTAGGAACAGTCATGTCAAACTATTGCCCTGATTTATTAGATCATCACTGAAGGACAATAAAACAGATGTAATTGGTTTTTACAGGCTTTATTAACTTGACTTTTTAATATGAAAAAAAAAAACAATTAGAAGTGTATTATCATTAATATTATCATGTTATATTTCGGAGCTGAAGTGCCAAACTACAAAATTGGAACAATTTTGTAATCACCAACTTTAATTTACTCTTACAGAATGCAGTAGTCTAAATGTCTAAACGATTACTGATACAATTAATCTGACTTGTGAGTGCTCTGACTTTCAATCTGCAAACAATCATGATGGCAACTCAGGTGTAGCAAAGCTGGTTGTTAATTTTAATTAGGCCCAGTCGACGGCCTGGGAGTGTGTTCTCAGTGTGAATGCCTAAGGATGTTTTTTTTTTTAATACTTGTCTTTTTCAGCCTGTGCCTGAAGTGAAGATTGTTTCGAATCTGCCATCCATCGCGATGGAAGAAGTGGCACCAGTCAGTGTCAGTGATGCCACTTTGCTGGCTCCAGAAGAGATCAAGGTATGGCTGCAGCAAATACAAAAATCCTTGGCAGCTGTTTTGAATCGGTAACATACAATTGCACTTATCGTTATTTAGCAACCACGCTTGTTTGTTCAGAATTGGTCCAATTATGCCATACGAACAGTGACAAGCTGTCTCTGCTTGATCTAGACCTCAGACCACCAGGAGACCCAGATCGGTGTGATGCTAATAGTACTTAAAATGAGATTGCTTGGACATTCTGTCACATAAGTGGCATGACTGTTACTACAGCCTGAGACTAATACAGATTAATACAAATCTTGTCCAGAAAACGTCAGATCAGGTGTTTCTTCCCAAGAGAGAGTTTTGGAAGTATAGAATGTAAATTCTATTCCAGATGTAAAAAAAAACTTGGCTTTCCCGGATCTAATCTGTGAGTGCGGGACGTCAAGCCTTTATGAACAAGCTCGAGTTGAAAGGCGGTGTTCACATCTCTTTCCCAAGTATGGCCCACCTGCAGTTTCTCACTGGGGCGATGGTGTTTCTCCTGTGCTCCAGGAAAAGAACAAAGCCGGCGACGTCGTGGGCGAATCCGAAAGGACGGCCACGGACAGGAAGCGAGAGAGGCGAAAGAAGAAGCTGCTGAAGCGGATCAGGCTGAAGAAGAAGGAGAAGTGGCAGAAGCCGGGCGAGCAGGCGCAGGCGGGGGACAAGAAGCTGTCCAAGGCGCAGGCGACGGAACAGCTGAAGAAAGTCACCAAAGGAGGCAAAGCGGCCCTGCTGAAGGTACGCGCGGGTTCATCTCTCTGCCACTGGCGGTATAAACAGAAAGTGCGGCTTAGCTTTTTCTCCCTTACAAGACGGGTGTTTTCAGTGTCTCGCAGCTGGCCGACAGCGGGTGGTTCCTTGCGGCGTCCTTAAAGAATTCCTGGTTGGTCCGCAGAAGCCACGCCCGTTGCGTTACCACTTAATTGAAATGTTGAATGTGAAGTGAGAAAAGTCAGTGGCTGGGTAGATCAGTTGTGTAATTGGGCGCTGCAGCGACCCAGAAGGGCCTCTAGCAGTGGATGCTCTTGCCCTTTCATGCCGCTGCCCAGCTCTCTGCCTAACAGCCTTGGTGTCGTGTGTTTGAACAGGATGAGGGGAAAGACAAGGCTCTGCGCTCCTCCCAGGCCTTCTTCTCCGAGCTGCAGGACCAGGTGAAGATGCAGATCAAGGGCGCCAAGAACCAAGTGGCCAAGAAAAGCAAACGGAAGGAAGTTTCGGCCAGCAAGCTGAAGTTATAGTGTTAGAATGCAGAGGATGTCTTTGTACAGCCTTCTTGATTTTTATATTTGTGTACTGTATATTATTTACATCTTTACACGTGCACCTGAGCAGTCTTGGGGAATAAATATACAGGGTCATGTCCATTGTTTTAAGGTGATTTTCAAGGTCAGAGTGTTTCCTCTTTTATGAGTCATCTCTGCACGAAGGTAAGAATGCAGGGAAAGGGACTAAAATTTCTGACTTTCTCCTGGTGTTTGTTGGGAAATTAAAAAAAAAAAATGACCCTGATTATTTTCTTACAAGGTGGCACAGTGGTTAGCATGGCTGTCTCGCAGCACTGGGGTCCTGGGTTCAGTTCCAGTTCTGGGGTGCTGTCTGCGTGGAGTTTGTATGTTCTCCCTGGGTTTCCTCTGGGGGGAAATTCCCCCCCACGGTCCGCAGTCATACTGGTAGGTTAATTGACTACTGGGAAAATTTGGCCCTGGTGTGAGTGCGAGTGCCTTTGTTGGTGTGTGCCAGAAGATGGACTGACATCCCATCCAGGGTATCCTGCCTTGTGTCTGCAGCTTGCTGAATTGGGTAAAGCCTATAGAAATGCATTTAACAGTGAACCCATAAAATACTTTAGTGTAGAGTTACACTATGCAGTTAAATAATTAAGACTGCTGTATGTAACTGAGATTTCAGGTGGAACACATTCCAGAAGACACTGTGTGCTGGAGGAATTGCGTGGGACTTCCGCGATTTAATGTAAAGCAGAAAAAGAGGAAATTTGTAAGCCTAAATCATTGTTCAGCCTGTCCAGCACATTGATATTTAACTACAAGTCTGTTAAAGTCATCTATCATTTCAAAAGTAAAGCTTGAAATTAGTTTTTTGTTACACACTTCAGTGCCTGAAAAAAATATCTTTAATAAAATAATAAAATCCTGTTTTTCTTTAATTGGTGTTGCATCAGGCACTTTTTGTCTATAATTTGTACTTTGTAAAGGTTATGTTTTAATGAATTGCATAGCTACAGGGGATAATTTATTTTCACACACAAAAGGAAATTAAGTATTTTAAAACATATTCAAGGCCTCCGCCTACTTGAATTGAATTGTTCCAATATGCAGTGAAGCATGAAGAGCGTTGGTATTAAAATTGAGAATGAATCTGGGATGCCTCAGAAAAAGGATATTTTGTGGCATGATTACAATATGCTACCATCATCTTTTTTTATTCCCCAGTATCAAAAGTGCACCATTGTCAGTGTTAGTCATATTCAATATGTTGATAGTGTGTAAAATGTTATTGATTGTTGTTTCTAGACTCCAAACTATGTTTTAAATCGACACGCGTTTGAATATTGTGTACTGTATTGTACAATCTCTTCCCATACAAGTAAAGATCATCTTTATGTTGGTTTAGAGCTGGGAGCTGAATCGACGTACGAGATGTAAAGGCGCAGGTTTAAGTTAATTCTACGATTGAAAGTAAAAAGATAAAAACATTGTGCTTGTGGTGCATTCCGTACGTCGGGAAAAACATCACTATGTACACTGGTTGTGTCATTTTAATAAAATAAAAGGTTTACTACAGTACAAAGAAGTTATATTTTCTATGAATTAGTAGCTAATTATAAGTAATATTTCATTAGATTGTAAGGACAATTCTTCCATTGTGTACTTAAGGATCCACAGCCAAAAACATGCTATATTTCACTCGTACTCCTAACGTGAATTTAACCTGTTAATTCCCAAACCTAACGTGATACCGCGAGCACTGACATCTGAACTCCGTGCTCGGTCGTTTGGACGATTGATTGGTGTAGCCTAGAGGATCGGTCTGCCAGGTTGATTAATGCTGTCTTCGTACAATCACTAAGAATGGCCGGGAACTGAGTGCGAGTGTTGTGCAACGTGAGTATGAATTAGAAGAGTTGGTGTTTATGAATTATCGTGCAATGATTTGCGTTCTGTATGAAGTACCGTCTATCTACAGACTGGATTACTCTCAGATAGATTTTTACGAATGTAAATATACTTTAGGATTAATTAGTATTTTGATTTTCATAGAGAGATTGATTACTATTCTCACAGGTCGGCAGTACCTAGAAAATTCATTTTTACCCGTCCAGTTGTCATTAACGAGTCTTTGTATTACTAGTTCTCTTGAAGAATTAAGACGAGGGGTACTGGAACTAGACTTGTTGCTTTTTAGATACAAGCATATTCACAATTTTGTGCATCTGCGTCCTCCTCTTCTTTTGTGCACGGTGCAGGATTTTGGGTGGTGAGCAGTGAGAAACTAGTACAGTACTGCATTTAAACTATGCCACCTTTCGCTGGTAGTTAACATTGAGACGTCAAACTGTCATAAAGGGTAGTGTAGTACGGCGTGTATCGATCATCCTTATGTTCTCTACACCTGTCAGTGTCGACTTTTCTAAGTTTTTCAAACACTCAGCCTAGCTGTGCATCGGGGCGAGAATATTTTTTCAACTCCATTAGGCATAGGAGTCAATATCTAGACTATGTTTGCATTTTCTGTCCAGGGAAAGACTAAACGTTTTGGTCAGCTAATCAGTCATATTACAGCATATACAATTACCAGTTTTCAGTTGAATTTTACTTCATTATATCCTGTAGTTTAGCTAGAGACTTGAGTCAAATGCTGCTGTCCCTTCAATCCCCCATGTTATTAATA